GAGTAAAGCCCGTGTCAGGCGGAAGCTGTGCTTTTCATGTCTCTGTGGTCTTGACCCAGCCCATACCTGACATAACTGAGATGCTCAACTAATATTTCTGAATGACGGAGTTTCCTCTTTGTGGACAGTTGGAGACAGATTTTTGAAGTTTCTGCCTTGTGTAACAGTTATTCTCTGTTTGCATCTGTCTCTCCCATTCTCTCTTCTCTAGGAAGCTTTTCCTCTCTTTAGATTACATTCATTTCCCTGTAACTTATTTCATGTAGTTGTCAAATGCAAAGTAACTGGAATATTACTTCTATGAAAACCCACACCCAAAAAACCCACAACTCTTTCAGGAACATTTTTGTTGTCAGAAGTCCTGCTTGTTGGTTGAAATTAAACCCTAAAGAGTAGAATTAAGGTGATATAAGAAAATGGAACGGTTCATATGTTCCTGGCATTAAAATCTATGTGGCAAGCAATTTGGAAACATAGATCAAGGGGCTTAAAAATGTCCAAACTCAGGGCCAGCAGGTGGTGTAGTTATTAAGACTCCCACATGGCCAAGCATGGTTCAAGACCTAGACCTGGCAGCTTGAAAATCATGCCAAGCATGTGCTTGAGTGTCCAAAATCCTGGGAGGAGAATGAAGGAGAAAGAACTGCAGTGTGGCTATCTCTCCGGAAGGTGATTTCTCACTTCCTGTCTCACTCACTCTCTCCAGTGAGCACACGTGCCCTATGACAAAAATCTTTAAAAGATGATCTTTGGTCCAATAATTCTACTTCTAAGAATCTGTTCAAGGAAGATAATCTTTTTATGCAAAGATTTGTGTTAAAAAGTATTTACTGCTTGGAGGTTGCAGCCCTCCGTGATGTAACTCCCCCAAGAACTGGTGAGTGGTAGCTCTCGCTGGCTGACGAGGCTGCCTGAAGCAATTTTGCTCACTTGCAGAGGGCAGAGGGGAATCCCAGAGAACTTCTTTTGTCAGCCAGTTAATGGTTTCAGTGAGTTATTTCAGCCCCAGGAATATTACTTTTCCTCTATTTTAAGTTTTCCTTAGATAAAACAAAAACAAAAACAAAAACAAAAAAAACAAAAACACTGTCTGGGGGCCAGTAGGTGGTGTAGTAGTTAAGGTGCTGGATTCTCACATGGCTGACCATGGTTCAAGCCCTGGATCTGGCAGTTTGAAAAACATGCCAGGCGCATGTGCATGCATGCCTAAAATCCTCAGAGGAAAATGGAGAAGAGATTGTGGTGTGGCCATCCCCCCTTGAGGGTGATTTCTCACTTTTCTTTCCTGCAAGTATATGAACCCTATGGCAAAAAACAACAACAACAAAACAAACAAATAAACAAAAGCACTGTCTGTTTGGATAGTTGGATAGACAGAGGAAACTAGAGGAAAATAAACAAAAAGTTTCTTATCCTGTTCTCAGCTCTGTCTAATATTTTATGTGTGTGTGTGCAGGAGCAATCTGTCATATAGCATGAGCCTCAGAACTCCATGTATTAAAAAGACCTTTACCTTTTTACACAATGTTTTAAACAGACACTCTTCTGCAGATGGTTTCAAAGACTGCAATGAAGCTGTCTTGACTAGTAAGTGAATTACTTAAAGATACATACAAACTAGGCCCAGTCTCATGGGATAGTCAATAGCAACCTGAAGTGCAGTGATGAAGGCCATGTGGCCAAGCATGGTTTGGATCCCCAGGTTGGCCTTGTGTGCATGCCCAGGGTCCTGAGGAGCCAGACGGATGGGGAAAGGGGGTCTTGGTATAAGGGGATCCTGTCCAGGGTTTTTCTCTCTCTTCCTGTCTCTTTCATGCACACACACACTCTCCATCATGAATAAAATAAATACACCTAAAAAAAAAAAGATACACACAACTAAGTTTGTGAGTCTCATTTTTCAATTTCATTAAAATTCTCCATTGCTTTCAGTTATAGTTCTTCTTTCGCCAGGGTAATTTGGTTTAGACGTGTGACAGGCCTTATATGCATGACTGTCTTAGATGCATCCCTAGGAACTTTGCTTTCAGGGAACTAACCAAAGTTGAACTCGTATAGTAAAGTATTTTACTTGCTGTTTCTCTTATAATAACCACTGAATTCATTTGAATTATTTTAACCACTGAGTTAAATCACTTTTCATTGCTTTCCTGACCCATCCTTCTATAAAACGTGTCTTATTGCTGATCCCCTTTTCTTTTTTCACGGTGTTTATTGCTCTTTGTAAATATGGAACCGTGTGTCTCTGTAGGACCTCTCTCGTACTAGCCTGTAAACGCCAGGACAGCAGGGGTTCAGTGCTCCATACCACAGTTCAGCACACAGTGGGCACCTGTCAACACTGCCCAACAAATAGACGAATGAACAGATAGATTTGCCCTTTAGGCAGAAAAGATCAGAACTCAACAACATTACATGAATATGTCTACATCATTAGGTAGACACTGATCTCCCCTGATAATGTTACCTTCAGGTGGGTGGAAGATTCTGTGACAGTTCCGAGACTATCAGTGATAGAAATCTCAGACTAAATGCAGGTAAGTATAAGTAAGACTTGCTATCACAAATGAAATTGTTCCCATTTGTGATAGACTGCTTGGAACTTTGGAAAGGGATTAACTCTTGCTTAGAAGAATCTGAAAGATTTTGTTATCACAGAAAGCAAAAACGAACTACCCATCCATCCCCCAAACCAGCAAAGACAAACATTCTCTGAAATGAACCTTTCTAGGAACTGAAGGAAAGAAGATTAATAAGGTATAACTGCAGTGAATGTATCAAAACTCTGTTAATAGCATTTTCCCCACTGGTTTCTAAAAAACACAACAAGATATATATTATTTGATTCTGTGGGCTTCCCTGTTGTTACAAATCCGTAGCAATCTTTATTTTTTTAAAAATCAACTATTTTCTATTTTTTTTCCCTTGCTTTCTAAATCTCATCTCACTGTTTGAATGAATTAGAATGAGGTAGAAACAAATAGAACAAACCAAAGGTATGGAGAAAGTATGTGTGTGAACTTTATTTCATCATGAGAAAATCACTTCTGTGCAGTAACAGAGAATACTGATATCTACATGATGATAGGTTTGTCTTTATATTCCGATACATACCTTATATTTGTATACAATATATAAAATTCATGGAGGAAATTAAATTCTACAGTACAGTTTCTTTGTTGGAAGAGAACTCGTTCCGTTAGTTTCGTTTAGAAAATGACCCCCAGTTCTGTGACTGTGGTACCGAGGAGCGCGGTTCCAACCCTGTAATTTATTAAATTAGACACCATAATCTTATGTACATGAAAAGAAACTGAGAAACTACATCTTCCTGCAGAATGAAACGAGAGACGTAAGCGCTCAGGCTGCTATGCTAGTTAACGGATGTGAGCAGAATAGTATATTTCCGTGATGTAGTATGAATAGGAAGTTTTCTCACAGGAGTGATGACGAGTATTAGCAACATTGCTGCGACTCTCTCTGCTCTGCCGGCATGCACTTCACTCTTCAGTCAAACTGCCCAGGACACCCACGGGAAACGAGACCAGCACCACTGAGGGCCTTCTGCACTGTGCCTAGGAAAAGCTCTGGGAGGGCTTTAGCACTTAGCATGATATTTTAGGAAAAGAAGCAACTGCTCTCAAACTGATAGGTATTCCAGAGAGAAGTTGCTAAAATGATCATTCTGGGGGAAGAAGCTCTAACTACCCCATCACTGTAGTTGAAAGGTAATCTGTGGGCATTTTCCCTTCAACAAGTCCTTCTCTTGGAATAGCATCATGTCACAGACTTCAAGGGCTCCCCGGAGCACTGTTTCCGTGCCTAGGGGTCTTTTACCTTTGCTGTGAGATTCGAAGTTGTGCTTGTTTTTAACCATGTGAACCATTTTAGGGGCGATTGGCACATGCTGTGTTTTGTGGGAGGTGGGAAAAACCACCACCATAGTTCTTTTTAGTTAATATCTTGAACTTGAAAATAAAAAAAGAGCAACATAATTAGTTCTGCAGAGGAAAGTTATGGAAAATGCCAGTGGGGTGTGTGTGTGTGTGTGTGTGTGAAGGAGGGTGACTTCTGTGATTAAAATGAGACCCAAAGATCTCTAAATGCTTTGGCCTTGGCCATAAATTCCACTTCATAAGTTTAATTTCACGTGTTGTGGTTGCACTTAAAATAAAGAGAAGTTAAAAGCCTCAGAGGCTATACTGGTCATCAGATTCAAGTCTCTCTTCCAAGGTGGATTACTTGTCTTTGATGACCATAATAGGTACAGTATAGCCAAGAAGCAAAGGTTCTCTGGAGATTAACCTTGGAAGGTGGCCGTGGGCAGCCTGCCAAGATGAGAAGGCCCAGCAAGGATGAAAATGTGAGGTAATGCAGAGTTGCTGGTCTCTTCCTGTTTGATGCCCACAGGAAGTCTCAGTCCTGCTGCCACTGGCTTTAGGGCATGAAATGGAAGTAGTCCCAGCTGGCTAAGCCAGGAGTGGCCGACAGGCCCACCCTGACCAGCTCTAGCACCCCACGACCATGTGAAACATACCCAGTCATACAACTCCACAGCTGAAAAGAACCTAGGTCCCCCCTCAGGAACAAGCAAGTACTACAAAGTAATTTAGAACCATCTGAGCAAAACTGGGAAATGACGTGTGTCGGTGGAGGATGAGCACCTGCTCTAGAGCCTACATACATTTGTCTTAGACACCCAGGGCACCTTCAGGCCCTCGCGTTTCAGCTTCTTCAACTGCAGTTATTTAGAATGTTACCCAAGGAAGCCGACGGCCCGAGCCATTTGAACTGCCGATGTGGAATCTTTGGTTTGATCACATCCACATACCACGGGCTCTCTAAAGGCAGGAGAGGAACAGCGGCTCTGTGTCAGAATGCAGAGCAAGTCATGGAAACACGTCAGGAAAGTGGACAGTGGTGGGGTTACCTCCGGGCTTGCCAGCCATCCTAGGTGCCACGCAGTTCTCGCTCGGAGGGGTACTGCTGAAGGGCCTTACCCTCAGACGTTTGGAGGACCAGGGTCTTGCTGTACTGGCTGACTCCTGTTTTGTTGAAGGCCTTGACTCGAGCATTGTATGTGCTGTTGAAGTGAAGACCATCCACGGTGCACATCGTCTCCTTTCCAACATACACTTCCTGAGGGTCAGCAAAAAATAGGACATCTTAAATTTAATGTGAATTCTTGTGAGGGGCGAGGGAGGCCGTGTGGCTGAATGGTTAGGAGCACAAGCTGTGGCACCAACCTGGCCTGGATTTGAATCCTGAGAAATATTGGAGCATTTAACTGACCCTTCTTGGCCTCAGCTTCCTAATCTGTAAAACGGGGACGATGACCTCTATTATGAGATTGGTGTGCAGACGCTATAAGATCATGTGGGCAGACTGATGTGCATAGTGCCTTTCTGTGTTTAGCATTGACCCAGCAACTTAATAAATGGTCATTATTAGCAGCGAGCTCTTCAATGATTAAAGTTGGGTGCTTATAGTTAGGATTATGTGCATTAGTACTAATTTGGCATTTATACAATATATTATATCTATTGAGCTCTTTATCCATCAGTGTGGTTTGTAAAAATATGTTTGTGAACAAGAAAACATGAGCATGGCCTCTATGCTGGGTTTATAACCTGTTGGTAATTTCAGGAACTGTCACAACGACTACACTCAAAACCATGGGAATTTAGGTTTTCATCACAGCACAGAGGGAAGGGGGAGGAAACAGGGAAGGGAAGAAGAATGACATTTCAAAGGCTTAAAATAAACCCTGGCATAATGCATCCTTAGCATAGGTTAGGCATTTGCCTCCCTCTTCAGCTGTACACTTTGCAAAATTATGCTGGCGTAATGAGCAAAAATCATTTGCATTCAAAGTATAGCCTTAGTATCTGCAATGGGTTACTAAGAAGACTGGGGTCTTGGCTGGCCCATCAACTTGTTACTACTGTGGCAGGTCCAAAAAATGTAATATGCCCTCTCATCCAGTGCTTCTCAAACTTTATGTACATATGAACCATCTGAGGATCTCATTAAAATGCAATTTCTGATCCCGTAGGATTCTAGCTTGGGGTTGGAGACGTAGGACTTTGAAGAAGTTCCTAAGTGAAGCCCGTGCTACTGGAGGAGGATTTCATTTTGTGTAGGAAGACGAGATATAACCTGAAGACAGTGGAGGTGTTGGTGGGCTTGGGCTGGGAACTCTGTGGTTTCTCACGGTAGGCCATGAAATGAGAGGAAGGAACCCAGAGAAGAGAGCCATGGGTTGAGTAGAAGGGATAAGTGGGATTCAATTCCTTTTTTAAAAGAACAAATTCTATTTTTTTAAAAAAGCTTACTTCCAGGACCAGCAGTTGGCATAATGGCTAGGTCGCTGGACTCCCATGTAGTTGACTGCGATTCGAGTCCCGGACCCAGTGGCTTAAACTCATGCCGAGCACGTGTGTGTGTGTGCCCGAGATACCGAGAGGAGAATGGAGGAGAAGGAATTCCAGCGTGGCCATCCCCCCTTGGGGTTGATTTCTCACTTTCTATCTCTCTGTCTCTCTCTGTCTTTCTGGCAAGCACATGCGCCCTATAGTAAAACCCTCTCAAAAAAAAACCCAAATCAAAACAAAACAAAATTTACTTTTTCTTTTGAGAGAGAGAGAGACATCCTGATCAGCATATCATGCACCATCCTCCCCCTCCCCTTGCCCTCTTAGCTAGGATCATGAGCATGTGTGTACCAGGCATGTACTGAGCCCCCATCTTCCATTTGGAGACATCTTTGGTAGAGCAGCGTATTATCACTGGCGACCAAACCAGCCCAAGGGATTCAATTATTTTAATGTTATTGGGGCTCAAGCAGGAAGGAGGAGCCAAATAGGATACTCCTTTGTCCTTTCTGAGGGTACAAGGAGAAAGCAGGTCTCAAGTGAAGGGAAGGTCGGCCCTGCCAGAACTGCTATCCCCAGGAGAAATGGGGAAGCCAGGCCTGAGCTCCACTCCACGTCCTCTGTGAGAGTCAACGATTTTCCCTTTTTTAAATAAGTAGTAGGTCCTCCACTTACCCGGAACTGACCACCACTGCCGTCATCCAGCTCCAGAATGTATCCGTCTGCGGGCACCGTGGACAGAGGCGGCTGTTTCCAGGACAATGTAGCGCTGTTGTTATGGGTGCAACATTCCTCCAGCTGTAGGATGGGGGTGGCTGGGACTGGAGAGGACACTAAACAGAAATGAGTGTAACCCTGGCGTCTGTCGAACTGCAAATGTCTTAGTTTCTTGGAATGATAATCTCTCCTACCCCCACAAAGAGCAGTTAAGAGCAGCCAGCCTAGGCCGTACAGGGGCCTTGAATGGGATCCACCCAGAGCCTCCAGGACTGGGGCTGGTTCCCAAACTCCTGCGAGCCCTTACTGTGAGCTTAGGAGGCACTACCTCAACTGTGGTAGTTGCAGGGAACAGGCGTATTTACTGAGTGGCTCTATTCTCACGCTTGGTGTCATCCCTGTGGGCAGTGCTTTACATGGAGACGCACTAAAGCCTATTTCATTGAAGCCCTGTAAATAATTTTATCAAAAAATTTATGCCGAGCCTTAAACCCCAGTTTATAAGATATTTTTGAAAAATAGCTTTGAAATCACTGTATTTCCAATATTCTTTTTTTTTTTTTTTTTAAATAGGTGATTGTTTTTCAGGTCTTATTTTCATAAGAAGCTGTAGTAGTGAGTTTTTGAAAAATTGGTACCAGGTGATGCAAACAACAATCTCTCACTTTTGAAACATTGGAGGGGCCTGGCATCATTCTCTCAAGGCAGCTGAACCTTGAAACAGCAGTAGGTCAGGTACAGAGCACCCAACTGCGGGCTCGGGGTAGTGTGGAATTAGACGGGGGCGTGGCAAGGAGGCTCAGGTGCCCTCACAGCCTGTGAGAACCTGTCACGGTGTTACTGTTCATACTGTCCTCTCCACGTTTTGTATTGAGAGCCTTTTGTGTTACTTAAAACTGCACATCAGCTGTGCCTTCATATATAGAAATGGTAGTTAATAAATACCAGTTCTTAACATACGAACTCAATATATATAGTTGGAACAACATTTTAACCAACTGCTTAAAAAACTTTTTTACCACCCAAACACTCATTATTATTATTATTATTTTTGTACTTCAATAACAGAACAGCTTGGGCCACATCCAGGGACATTTAGACGAACAAATGTTAATTGTGGAACACCTGGTGTGCTGTACCAAAATTGGACTCTGTGTACCATGCATTGAATTAAATATGCTTCTTGACAGTCACCCCAACCAAGATATTTACTTTAACAGCAGTTTAAGAGACAGGTTCTATGGTGAATTACCTAGAAAACAAAAGCCATAACTATGACCTAAGAGATATGAAGGGGCAAGCAAGTCAATTACCTTATGCTTAAGGAAAAAAAAAGCTGTGATACATTACAGTAAAAACAAGTTTGAGCAACTGAATCAAACATAATTAAAGCAAAATTATTGACTATTTAATAGGAAGTGGGTAGTTTAGAAAGGAAATCATGTTTTAAGTTTCAATGCACAGGATATAGGTGGAATCACTTTTTTAAAAAGAATTATTTATTTAAATGTATTTATTCATTCATTCATTTAAATTTGACCAAAGAGGAACAGAGAGAGGAAGAGAAAGCAAGATGCTAGGTGTGGGACTCGAACCACGGTCAGCCATGTGAGAGTCCAGCATCCTAACCACCATGCCACCTACTGGGCCTTTGGATGGAGTCTTGTCAGAGAACTCTGGCTACTGAAACCTTGGAAGTCCCAGAGCATCTGAGTTTGGATGGAAGGAGATAAATGCTTGCCTTGTTCAACAAATAAACAGTCCTGTAGGACCGGATAAAAACAGATGGAAGGTCTAACTCCTTCTAAGGATTCTAATGAGTATTTACACAGAGACAGACATCTCCCAGGAGTTGCAATTGGAGGGTTAACTTTAAGACATTATAAATATTAAGGACTTATTTTGTTACTCAGAACTTAGTTTCCTTATTAAAATAATACATTTTACTATGTTTACTGTGAAGTAAAATATGACATGTTTAAGCAAACCATTTTTCAAAGGACTTCTACAAACATGAATGATTCCCCCTGGGATATTTGTTCTCCAGTGTCCTTATTAGTTAGAACCTACCCTGAAACAATTTCCTTGGACTCACTTATTTTATTAGCTCCATTTTAGGCATTTCCCTTTGTTCATGTTTCAAATAAGTCTACAGAATCAAAGAATAAGATCACAGGATGGTTCCAACCTAAATCATACAAATGTTTGCAATGTCTCTATGAATTTCAAATGTCCCTGTGTAGCTCTAGGTATAATTAATAGATTAATTGAAATACAAGATGTCATATATAATTAAAAAACATTAGAACTTCATTTGTAATACTCAGTGCATATACTTTAAAAGACCAAAAGGATAGAAAAATGGCTAACCTCTCACTAATATCCAGATCTAATATTTTCCTAGATTTAAATAAATAAGCAAGTGAACAAAAAAGCAAAGTGGGTAGTAAGACAGAAAATAACTTACAGACATTTGCATGAGTCTAAATATATTTCTTAATGTGCTAAGAATTTTTTTCTTTATTTACCTCAAAATGTTGTTGTATAAAAAGGCAAATGTGACAAAATTATTAGCAAAGATTTAAGCTAGCACTGAAAAATGTAGATTTTATAGTGGGTGTTATGTTACCCTATTTTACCTTATTAGGTATAAAATAAATGGTAAGAAATCCAAAATATTTTCAAATTTATTTATCGCTTATGGTTTAGAAATGGGTAATATTACATTTCCTGGGTGAAAAATCTGAGAAAGAGCATCTTATTTTATTGAGACTCCTGTCATTGGGGCTGCCATAGCTATCTTAATCTTTACACTTAAATGATAATTCCAGAACATCTTTGTTTTTTCCTTAAGAATGTGTTTCTCCTGACCTGATCAGAATCCTAGCATTTAGCTCTTTTTTAAAGAGAGATTTTTGCTATAGGGTGCATGTGCTTGCCAGGGAGACAAAGAGAGATAGAGAGAGACAGAGAGACAGAAAGTGAGAAGTCACCCCCTAGGGAGTATGGCCACACTGCAATCTCTTCTCCTCCATTATCCTTTAGGGATCTTGAGCACACATGCACACGGACCTGGCATGAGTTTGAGTCCCAGGTCCGGGACTCAAACCGCAGTCGGCTACATGGAAGTCTGGTGACATAACCATTATGCCATCTGCTGGTCCTTTAGTATTTTTTTAGTCTATAAAATTAAACTTTATTGGGACCAGCAGATGATGTAGTGGTTATGTTGCTGGGATCCCACATAGTTAACCATGGTTTGAGTCCCGGACCTGGTGACTTAAAACTCACACCAGGCACATGTGCATGCATGTTCATGATCCCAAGAAGAGAATGGAGAGAAGGAATTGTGGTGTAGCCATCTCTCTTGGGGGGTGATTTCTTACTTTATGTCTCTCTGTCTCTCTAGTGAGCACATGTGCCCTATAGCAAAAATCTCTCTAAAAAAAAAAAAATCAAAACTTCAGGCTAAAAATTCTCCTCTTAGATACAAGGAAGCAGTTATTTTTGATTCCTTGAAGAGGTCTGATGGAGCTGTGGTTCAGATTAACTCCAACAGTGGCTTCTTATACCAATGCTTTTAATTGTCCTATTTCTTTAAGGCTGCTCTATTTCAAATTCTATCTCACATTGTCCTTATTTAACTTTTTTCACTGATCTTTCAGATCATGAACATTCACAACCGCCCAGAATCATCTCTGAAAGTAAGTGGAGTATGGTGGACAAATGAGAAAAGTGGCTGGCCTCCCACCCTTGACAGAGAATATGAATCATACACTATGCTATTCGAACACGTACTGAATGGCAGACAGCATGGTCAACATGTATTAACTCATTTAATTTCCGCACCAACCCCATAAAGTAACTACTGTTATAGCTCTCATTTTGTAGATGAAGAAGCTGAAACCCAGAAAGATTTCATGGCTAGTAAGTTGGAATTTAAAGCAAGCAGGCTTGCTCTGAGCCCGTGCACTCAGCATTGCATTAGATTGCCTCTCCAGTCTAGTCTTTGCAATTCGGTACTAGAGGAAAGTCTCCACACTTAATCTCAGAAATTTCTTTCTGTGTTCAGTCATTTGAACACTAAAGATTCCAAAGGACTAATGGGAGATACTAATAAAATATTTCACCTTCAGAGCCATGACGGTTAAAAATACAATTTTATTGTATCATCTTCCCTGAAGTTTCATTTGGAGCCTGTCATCCCTCTTTATGGTGGCTGAATGATACAGATGGCATCTGAGGAAAGGTTAGACTTTTGAGGAACCCATGAGCTATTTCTGAAAAGCTATTCCTGGTACACTGTTCAGGATAAACATGAACATGTATGTTGAGGACGTACCTTTCAGAACCCAAACCATCGAGCGTGAACAGATTACACAGCACTCTCTGTGGTTGGTGGGAGAGGCTGTTCAGATCACACTGTACTTGGCCTTGCCCTTGGTGCAGACTCAGGGCTTTCACATTCAAGATGAGTTAATGAAGATAAATGCCTCCTTAGGTGAGTGGAGGCACTGAAAGGGATTAACAGCCATTAGTCTGTGTGCTAAAAAGGCTTGTGAGAGCTTAGGTCACTGTTTCATCCTGGTTCAGAATGAACACACTGGCATTTCAGTACCATGACTCATGAATCTTGGGATACTTTGTGCACTTAGATGATTTCGGGTAGTAATATTTTTCTGGGAGAGGGTAGGTATCAGAAATCTATTCTTAAACAAGTTGTGGACTCATTGAAAGACAAGAAAAAAAGACTTAAAATTTACTTCCCGTG